CTTAGTGCCAGAATTTCCTCCTGCAACAAGGGTAGTGTGAATGTGATGATGAACTACAAAGTGCTTAGCCTGGTTCCTGGCATGGCATTCAATGACTGTTGTAATACAATCTATTAGGTGGGATGATGGCTCCTTTTCTGGGAACGCTCCTGTTCAGCAAAGCCTACCTTCAATGTGAACCAAAAAGAAATATATATATATAGATGTATATATATTTAAAATCTATATTTATATATTTAAATATATATATTTTAAAATTATATATATTTCTTTTTGTTATATATATAATTTCTACCTGCTGAAGGCAGTTTGTAAAAAATAACAGTGTGACTTGATAATGAAGAGCAGGACAGACTGTGTCTGGAATCTTGAGTTCACAGACGCTAGTGCTGAAGACCAAGGTCAAACTCTGCAGGTAATGGTCCATGAGTGGGCAAAAGTCTGAGGACCAAGGTTGAGGCCCTCATTTGGGCAGTAGACCAAGGTCACAGGACTGTGTGCTTCAATGTATCCTTGAGGTAGTTACGTACTGACTTCTGTACTTGAGTCACAGTGTTGCTTCCTGATCATCAAGTATTGGCTGGTTGGCAAAAGTATGAGACAGAGCTGCTGGACACAGTCCCTACAAACATTCTAGAAACTGACCCCAAATAAGTTGTAAGTGGAGGCCTGGGGAGTACAAAGGACAAAAAGGCATAGAATTCTTCATGCTGTTCTGAGGCTCTCTTGATTCATACATCTCCATTTAGTCCCAAATGACAGAACTGTCATGAATGGCTTCTGCATTTGTTTCTATTATATCATAATCACTCACTGAAAGAAAAAGTTCTCTTATTAACTATCAAGTTTACACCTCTCAGTAGGAACTCTTATAATTTAAAATTGCTTGGTTAAGTAATGAACATCTCATACATAGAACATAAAATGTGTCCTTAATAAAAACATGTTTTGGTATTTGTAAATTTCAAATTTTCAGCAATGTTATTCACATCTACAAATTTTAACCACATACTACTTTTATTTCTATGTAACAATGTTACAGACTAATAGGCCTCTTCCACTACTGAAGGTTTCTTAAATCTGGCATCCTGGGACTATTTTCTCCTATTTGCCATCTTATTTCATGGGTGGGATTTATGTAAAAATCAGTGAGCATTATGCATCTATATGTATGTGTATGGGGTGTTTTGACATCTAAGAAGAGACAAAATTTCTCGTGTTTTTAAAGAATGATATTTTAAATTATGATTTTGGCCACAATGCAGTAGCATGAGGTTATATTACAATTTCTAGTTAGATACTAAGACAAACTTCAGACTTGAACAAAATCAAAACAAGCCAAGCTTGTCATTTAAAAGTATAGCTCTTCATTCCTAAACTTTTTTCTAAACTGTAGCAGCCATTAATTGTTCAAAAAATATTCTCCCCTTTTTCATAATGCTAGACCTGCTTTTATAGCCACATTGCTAACTAGTAAAATACATTTCTCCATCTCACTGGGACTTATGTATAGTTGTTGCCAGAGAATTTATGTAATTTCCAGAGCTTTCTTTAACCTTCTTATTTTTATCACTGTATTGTCTAGAACTTTATGTGTGGCTTGAAATTATGGAGAGTTGATTTTTTGTCTCCCCAAGGTCACTATGTTAAGTGATTTATACAGAAGCTAAGTGATTCATACAGAATAAGATTTGTACAGAAGCTGTGTAAAAGCTGATCCAATGTACCTCCCTTTATTCCAAAAATAATTGAAGAGGTTGTTGAATATTTTAACTTGGTGGGTACTTTAAGATTACTGAAAGTTGATTTCACATCCATTTGCAAACTGGTAAATAAATTAATGATTATCAAAAAAAGTAATGATTATGTATTTCTTAACCAAGATCATATAAAGAAATCAACAACTTTTCAATTACAAAGTTGATGCTCCAGTTTTGCTATTAGTACATTATATCATTATTTAAGATAATAATTGAATAACAGGATGGATTAAGTCTAGAGAATTTGAAAGAGTATGTCAAGCAAGCAGCTTTAACTGTTGCTTACTAGTGCTAAGCTTTTAGAATTTCCATATTGGCCATAGGCAAATTTAAATGTAGGCAAGAGGTATATCCCATAACCAGAGCTGTTAGCATAGTGGGCACTTGCTGACTCTTGTCTGAACCTTGCTGACTCCAGAATATTCTAATGTGTAGGCTCTATTCAAACTATTCTAGAAGGTGTAGCACTGATTACATGTAATATTTGGCCTTTCTTTTTATGCTCAAAGAAATCTGTTCTAGATCAGACAGGTTAAAAAGAGGGAGAAATTTTACTTACAAGATATTTGAAAGGATGTCTGTAGGAATTTTCTGGCTGAATTCAAAAAGATCCTGTGGAGCTAAGATCTCAGACACAAGCCTGCACTTATCTTCTCACTATTTATTTATTTATTTTAGATTTATTTATTTTCATTAGAAATCCAGATTTATAGAGAGAAGATACAGAGAGAAAGATCTTTCATTCCTGGTTTACTCCCCAAGTAGACATAACAGCTAGAGCAATCCAAACCCAGGAGCCAGCAGCTTCCGGGTTTTCCAAGGCTTTGGCCATGCTTTACTGCTTTCCTAGGCCACAAGCAGAAAGCTGGATGGGACGATGGGGTATGAACTGGTGCCCATATGGGATCTTAGCATGTGTAAGGCAAGAATTAGCAATTGAGCCATTGCACTGGGCCTAGTAGAATGTCTTTAAATCTTGATCTGAAAGTATTATTGCATTTCCTGAAGTAATACACAATAATCAACCTCTGAGTTACATTGCAAGCTTGTGGGGTTTCCTCCTTTCATTTATACAGCCAGGATGCAAAGATTTTTGCTGTCAGTGTTTCCAGGAAATAGGAAATGGCTCACTTTTAGTAAGCTTTCAATGAATTATGTAGAATTTGTTTCCCTGTATGCTTTTGCATTTATTGGTTTGTGGCCATTTTAACTAAATATTCTGTATTTTACACACAGGAAAAAATTTGGAAGAATATTTAATTATTTGAGGTTTCTACGTGACAGATCTGTTCTGTTCAGCATGCAGTTAACATTTTAGATTTATAGCCCCACCACTATCAGAAGGAATCCTAGAATAGAATCCCAGCTATGGGTGTGATCATTTCAAACTATTTCTGTACTGAAAAATAATGGAAATATTTTATAAGCTTTGAATTTGTCTCTTAGATATACATATGCCTAGGATAAAATATTTAGTTTTTGCTGAAAGAAAGAATAAGCGATTCTATATCGTAGTTGAGACCTCATGCTGAAGTTGGTAAGATCAAGAAAGATGTTATTCTGGGGTTGGGGAAGGGAATCCCAGTACCTAAAAAAACTGTGTCACATAATGCAATGTAATCAATTAAAAATAATTTAAAAAGAAAGTATTCAAAAGCCCTTAATTCTAACACACACACACACACACACAAATCTGGAAACTATTATTTACTACTGACCACTTTCAAACTTACCAATTTTCATCAAACATTCACTCAAATGTGAAAAAATATGTCGGCATATCTGATCACAGTGAGCACACTCACTCACTGGTCTACCACTGGGATGCCTGTCATGGCCGGGAAGGCCAGCAGCCAGAAACACCCGTGCAGGAACTCCATTCCCTGAGCCATCACTGCTGCCTCTCAGAGTGTGGCACCAGGCACTCCAACATGGCACTGGGTATCTTAACTGCTAGGCTCCACACCTGCCCCAAGCATCAACTTTAATGGCTTAGTCTATATGAAATCAAGTGATTGCATTTTGTAGATCTGACTGGATATAATATAAAGCTCAGCAATATTAAATTGCTGATATTAAAGGTTTTTTTTGACCTCTAAACATAACAAATTTATGCAGCACAATATAAATACATCTAATATAAACGCTGTCTTTAAGGAATGACATAGAGGTTTCAGAGCTTCTTAATTCTCCATTTTACTCTTCTCATCTCCTGCCTGTCAGTGGTGTGGCAGGCTTTTTAAAAAATTTTCAGTCTTACTTCTTGCCTAGTAGCATTTGCAACTTGTTTAAAAACATTCACATTGTATTTTTGTTTCGCCTGACTATAACAAAGGGTAATATGAATAATTACGGATTTCATAGAGAATATACTGTGAGTCCCTTATTGTTTCTGTGAACTTTTAATAGCCTGTGCTTACCTGCTTAGAAAGCAGAGCAACAGCCTCTGGTGGTTCACCTGCCACATCTTCCAAGTGGGTGGCAGGAATGCCCTTGAGCCATGCCTGCTGCCTTCCAGGATGCAGCAACAGGAAGCCAGCTGCAAAGCAGAGCAAAACAGAGCAGCCAGGACTCCAAGGGGCACTTCCATATGGGATGCAGCTGTTTCAGGGCGCAGCCTAGGCCAATATGCCACACACCCTCCACCTGTTGCCTATCAGTGAGTCTCAAAGTTGTAACGTTAACCTTCAACACAGAACTGGTTAAAATACAGGTTTCTGGGCCCTCTGCCCTGTGCACTAGGTCTGTCCTCCCCCTTCCGCCCCTCCCCCCTTTTTTGCTTCTTCGATAAATAAAATTCAAGTAAACGAGATGAATTTTTCTGAAAACTATCTCTTGGTAAAGTAGTACTACATTAACCCCTTTGCACAAGAACTGTGAATGGGATTTGCCTTTGACTTAGCTGCTACAGTCCACACTTTCAGGACAAGTGCCTCTGAGGAATGTATTCATCTGGTCCGCCGGAGGGCAACGGTCGCCCCAGCCTTGGACTTGGCGTTATCAGAGGCGGCCGGCCGCGCCTGATAGGGCAGCGCGTGGGCGCCCACCGAGGAGCCCGAGCCGCGCGCCTCTCGCTTCCAGGACCTTCTCGGCGCGGAGGAAGCCCAGCGGGCGCCGGGGCCCGAGCCGCAGCGCGCCCTCAGCGAGAGCACAGCCGCGCCACCGCGAGCCCGAGCGGCCGCCTGAGGTAACCCGAGCGGCCGCCCGAGGTAGCCGCGGCACTGCGGCCCGAGCCCGCGCGGACGGCCACCTCCCCGGGCGAAGATGTCGGCCCAGGCGGACGTCGGCTTAGTGCGCGAGGCTTCGCGGCAGATCGTGGCCGGTGGTTCTGCTGGTAAGGTTGCTGCGTGTCTCCCCGCCGGCGGACGCCGTTTCCACACCCTGTCCGCGGCCGAGGGTCTGTGGCATTCCTCCTCCGAATCCCGCGCTCCCCTCACGGTGCCCGGAGCCGACGGGCGCGGGAGCAAAGGAGGCCGGGACGGGGCGGCGGGGGCCGGGTGCCCCAGGTAAAGTGGCCCCGGCGCCTGCCACCCTCGAGTTCCAGGGCCCCTCGGTTCCTAGCAAGGCGCGCGACCCCGCCGCCTGTAACTGTGAGAAGGTTTTGTTTTTCCCTCGCTGGCTGTTTTTCATTGAAAATGATCCCGTCTCAGCTGACTTAGGTCTGCTATCCATTGTAGGCTTTTTTCCCCACACGAGTTCGGATCTTACATAAATGATTCCTCTCACAAGCAGAGTTCTTACTGCAGGACTCCGCAAGGCTGCAGCTTAGTACAAAACGTGCTTGCTTGGGAATATTTGCGTCTTTAAGTAGGAATTTAACATTTAATACATATATTAACGCATATGAACACTGGTAGATATAACGGGCTGACAGAAGTTTATGGAGAATTATGTCGTGGCGTGAAAACGTTTAGAAAAAAAGGTCGTAATTTGGAAATAGTTGTCAGCAAATGTGACGGAGACAGTTATAGCCACAAGATCACACTATGTGAAGTGTAAATTATTTATTTATTTTGAAATTTTAGTTCTTTATTTGAAAGGAAGCGTTACAGGGTGGGGGTGGAGGGAGGCAGAGATGTGCCATTCGCTGGCTCACTCCCCAAATGGCCACAGGGCTGGGAGTCTGCAGTGTCCCCCAGATAGCCCCGGCAGGTGCAGGGCCCAAGCAGGTCGGCCACCTGACACTGCCTGCCCAGGTACCTGAGCAGGGAGCTGGATGGGAAGTGGAACAGCTGGGACAGGCAGAAGCTTTACTCTAGAAAATGTCTAAGGTTTGTGACTGGTAAAGTTTATTTTCAAATGCATTTGAACTTTTTGTAAGGGATTACTATAATTTATACCTAGTAGTTACTTCGTAATGAACTACATGCACTCTCTTGGTCGATAGCTCCCACAGCTGAATATTTTGTTTATGTATCTGTATACTTTCCTGGAGACACTTGATTTTTAAGACAGTGCAGACATTTACTTATTATGGATAATTGCATGGTACCCATCTGTTATATGTCGGTGACTCTACTGCCTGTTTCTCTGCTTGTTTCCTAACAGTAGTGATGAATTTACATCGATTTATTCACCACTTTTGGTCAAATTCCTCAAAATCCAAAGCTCTGACAGTTGCACCTAAGTCACTTAATGTCTATTCTGTGTCGTTAATCATGGAAAACTCAGCTGCCCAAAGGGCATTGAGAATAGTTGGTTAACATCATTAGCTATGATTCACAAATATCTACATGTTGTTCTGTGTTCACTAGTGGTTACTGAAGCCAAGCAGGGATTTGTCCACTGTTTCACTACCAGTCTGTTCCAACCCTGGGTCCTGAGCTTGCCAGGGGGCACTGTGGTCCATACTGGCATGACTGGCATCCAGTGCCAGTACTTGCCAGTGTGTGCTGTGGCCTAGCCCAGTCAACGTGGACCCACTTAGGTTTCTATGTGTGCCAGCAAATGTAGCAGTTCTGCTAAGCCTGCTTTGCCTTGTCCTAGCTTTTATAATGCAAATACCAAATGCCAGGCCTAGTGCTAAATTTTACATGTATTAGTATGCTTAATATACACAGAACTCCAGAGGTAGACATAACTTTTTTTAAAAAAAGATTTACTTTTTTTTTTAAAGTATTTTTAAAATTTTTATTGGAAAGTTAGATTTACAGAGAGGAGGATCTTCTGTCTGCTGGTTCACTCCGCAAGTGGACAGAACTGAGTCGATCTGAAGCCATCAGCCAGGAGCTTCTTCTGGGTCTCCCATGTGGGTAGAGGGTCCAAGGCTTTGGGACATTCTCCAAAGCTTTCCCAGGCCACAAGCAGGGAGCTGGATGGGAAATGAGGCCCCAGGACAGGAACCTATGTCCATATAGGATCCTGGCATTTGCAAGGCAAGTACTTTAACTGCTAGGCTACCGATCTGGGCCCAACGCTTTTTTTTAAGACCTTTTTTTTGGGGGGGGGGAGGGTGTTGCATTGTTTTTCGCTGGAAGATGTGATCTAGTAGGGACTACCCCTGGCCCCAGGTCTTAACAGTTGCCAGTGTGTGCTGTGGCCTTTTCTGAGATGGCTGGTTTTCAGTCTCAGCATTCCCTGGCAGGTGCTGCAACCTGGCTCAGTCCAGATTGCTGCCAGTTCCAACTTTCCCTGGTGGGTGCAGCCACCTAGTCTAGCCTGACCCTCCCACATCCCTGGCCCTCATGTGAACTGGTGAATTTTGTGGTCCAACTCAGCCTGACCTGCACCCTGTCCTGGTTCTTACAATTCTAGTGTGTGCTGCAGACTGGCCCAGCCCTGCCCTCCCCTCAGATGCACCCCCTAAATAAGCTGAAGACTGCTCTGGCCCAGCCTGGCCTTACCTGCCCCCAGCCCAGGCTCTTGTGCTCACAGTGGGAGCTGTGGTCTAGCAGGGGAGTTCCTCAAGCTCCCCTACCAAGGCCTGCTTCCAGCCCCAGATCTCACATGTGCTGGCAGGTGCTGTGGCCCAGCCTGACATGGCCTACCCCCAGTTCTGAGGCCCATTCTTGCCCTTGCCAGTGGGTACTTCAATCTACCCCAGCCTGGCCCTTCATCAGATCTAGATCTCATGTGACTTGGCAGGTGTCGTGGCCCAACCCGGCCTATGTCACAACCATTCTTGCTCTTGCAAGTGCCCTGCCCAGCCTGGCCCACACCCAGACCCAACTCACGCACATGCCAGCATGTGCTGCAGCCTTACCCAGCCCAGTCCGCTCCAAGCCCAGGCTCTCTCACTCATCACTGACAACTGTAGCCTAGTAGGGGGTCCCTAAAGTTCCCCCATAGACCCATTCCCAGCCCAGATCTTATGTGTACTGGTAGGAGCTTTGACCCAGCCTGGCATGGCCAACAACCTGTCTTGGCTTTTGTGTGTACTAGTGCGTGCTGGGGTCTGGCCCAGTCTGACATTGTCAGACTTTTTTTTTTTTTCTCAGACACAGCTCACACACATGCTGAAGAGTGCTGTAGCCCTGGTTGGTCTGGCCCATCCCCAGCCTTGACTCAGTGCTCCCCAGTGGGAGCTGTGGCTCTGCAGGAGAGTTCAGGTCTGCTCCCAACCTTGGATCTCACATGTGCCATTGGGTTCCATGGCACGGCTTGGCATAATTCTGGCCTTTGCATGTGCCAATGGGTGCTTTGGGCTGGCCCTGTCTGTCCTCCTCCAAGCCCTGGCATCTGAGAGTGTCGGTGAGTTTCATTGTCCAGCCTGGCTGAGTCCATCACCAACCACAGCTCTCATGTAAATCAGTGCTTCCTGCAGTTCCACAGAGACAAGCCTACAGATCCTCTAAACAATCTGCCTCAGATCCAGTTCTCTCATGTTCTGAGGTATGCTGTGACCCAGCCCGATGTGGCCCACCCCTGCCCTAACACTTGCGGTGGGTGGTACTGCGGCCTAGCCCAGCCAGGCATGTCCCCAGCCGCAGCTTTCATGTGTGCTGGCAGATAACAGGCGATGCTGTACTGCCCAGCCAGGTCTCGGGTGCCCTGACCTGATCCAGACGTGTCCTTCAGTTTCCCCCTCTCTAAACCATTACATCAAGCCCAGCCCAATAGCCTTGTGGCTAAAGTGCTTGCCTTGCATACGCCAGGATCCCTTGTGGGCACCAGTTCATGTCCCGAATGCCCCACTTCCCCTCCAGCTCCCTGTCTGTGGCCTGGGAAAACAATTGAGGATGGTCCAAGGTCTTGGGAATCTTGCACCCATGTGGGAGACCAGAAAAAGCTCCTGGCTCCTGGCTCCTGGCTTCGGATCTGCTCAGTTCTGGCCATTGTGGCCAGACCCCCTTCCCTAGGCATTCTATAGCCCCCCCCCTTATTTGAGGGTTGGGGTAGCATGTTCCAGCATAGATTTCTCTACCTTTCTCATATATCTTTAAAAAAAGAAAAATAGAATAGAATAGGAAGCTGTGCTGGCACACTGGTGTAGTTAACACAAATTTGGCATTAACCAGGGCCAGAATGCCCGCCAGCTGCTGGCTGCTTTGCTCCTAGCAGTGTAACACTTGCCTAGGTACAAGGCAGCCTGGGCAGAAACCTATACTGTTTTAATCCTATTTGCAGATGAAAAATGATATGCACCAAGTGAATAATTAGCATGCCTACAATTGTTACAAGCTTCAACCCTGTCTATAGGAAATCAAGGAAGGGGAAGGGACAAGGAGAAAGTCATTTCCATTGTCAGACTTTTGTAGAACTTGAAGATATCGGGACCTGGTGCAGTAGCCTAGCAGCTGAAGTCCTCACCTTAAATGTGCCGAAATCCCAAAAAGGCACTGGTTTTAATCCCGGCAGCCCTGCTTCCCATCCAGCTCCCTGCTTGCTACCTGGGAAAGCAGTCAAGGATGGCCCAAATCCTTGGGACCCTGCACCCACGTGGGAGCCCCGGAAGAGGTTCTGGGTTCCTGGCTTCAGATTGGCACAGCTCCAGCCATTGTGGCCACTTGCAGGGTGAATCATCAGATGGAAGATCTTCCTCTCTATCTCTCCTCCTCTCTGTATATCTGACCTTCCAATAAAAATAAATAAATCTTTAAAAAAAAAGAACTTGAAGAGATCAAGTCTTATCCTATTAGTTTCTATTGGTTTATGTTTTTAAAAATAATTCTTCTATCTACAAATTCTTAGGCTGTTTCCACTCGATATCTTGTTAATTGCCAATAGTTTCATGTATGTTGAGGCATAAGGATTAGCAAGAAGAAACCTTAATTATATTACTGTTTAATGTATTTTGGGCCCCTACATGCAGTTGGGCACATTATAAACCGAAAAAGGGCTCTAGCTATGCGTGCAAGTAGGAGCTCAGATCCAGCTCGCGTCCAGGCCTAGTCT